TGCAGAGTTTGCTAATAGCAGGGAACAAGAAGTGAGGCAGCTGGACAAAAAATAGTCGGACATTGTAAACACCGAGTCTACTCCCGCCTCACACATGTTTAGTGGCAGCTCGAGCAGTCAGTTAAAAGACTCTGGACCTGCAGTCCTGAGGAACAACACATTCTACCTCCTACTGATCACCATTGAGCAGAAGAGACTCAGAGAAAATAGTAATCTGAGCCAGAGCCTCCTGACAGTCTCACCAATGGGCATTTTTGGAAAAGACTACTCGGAGCAAAATTTTTCTGGCCCAGTTCTGACTCGGTCTAGATAGCCCAAAAAGTGATGGCCCTTTGGTGGCCCAGAAGTGGTCCATGCATGGTCCATCACCACACATACTAAACCACAACTGGGTCATCGTTGCCAGACGTGTCCCACATTCAGTCGACAAACCACTCGCCATGCCAGCAGTGCCAGCTTGACACCAGATCTGGCCCACGCCTATCTGCCAGGTGGGATGTGGTCCTGGATCAGCACAGCTCATAATATGTCAAGTCAAGTCGAGTCAACTTTATTTATATAGCACATTTAAAAACAATTGCTGTTGGCCAAAGTGCTTCACATACTGAAAACTAAAAACAAAGCAATGCTAAAAGAACACAAATGGTAAAACCATAAAAACAGACCAAATAAATAGGTAAACAACTCTCAAACTACATTAAAAGCTTTTGAAAACAGGTGTGTTTTAAGAAGAGATTTAAAAACTCCAAGAGTTGAGGCCTGTCTGATGTGAAGGGGCAGCTGGTCCCACAGTTTAGGAGCCACAACTGAAAAGGCTCGGTCACCTCTGTGGACCAGTCTGGACCGCGGGACAGCCAAGAGTGAATGATCACTGGATCTAAGAGATCTGGAGGGCACATAGGGCTGCAGGAGGTCAGACAGGTATTCAGGAGCCAGTCCATTCAGAGCCTTATAGGTCATCAGTAAAAGTTTAAAATCAATTCTAAAACACACAGGGAGCCAATGCCAGCACTGGGGAGATATGTTCACGCTTCTTGGTCCGTGTTAAAAGGTGTGYTGCAGCGTTCTGAACCAGCTGCAGGCGTGAGAGGCCAGCTTGGCTAACTCCAGCRTACAGAGAGTTACAATAATCCAGCTGAGATGAAATAAAAGCATGGATCACACATTCAAGGACTCTGAAAGATAAAAACAATTTGATTTTAGATAAAAGTCTCAGTTTAAAAAAATGATCTATTTACTACTGAATTAATCTGTTTCTCAAAGTTGAAGTTTGAGTCAAAGATCACACCCAAGTTTTTGATGTGTGATTTAACAGATGGTTCCAAGGCACCCGGATCCTTAGGAGAAGCACTGCGATTACTGGGTCCAAAGATAATAGTTTCAAGCTTTGACCTCAGTGATGCAATCAAACAATGGTTTTAGTGAAGAATGATTAGGTCTCAACTGAAGGTAGATCTGGGTGTCATCAGCGTAGGAGTGAAAAAGGATGTTAAATTTTCTAAAAATGGAACCTAAGGGGAGCATGTGGAAAATAAAAKAGGACCAAGGATAGATCCTTGGGGATCTCCACACGTGAGGGGAGCTGAGGAGGAAACATAATTTCCAAGGCTTACTGAGAAACACCTGTCAGACAGATAGGACCTGAACCAATCCATCAATCCAATCCAATATCTATTTGGTGGCCCACAAAGCCTTACCCCTTTACTAGCCTACAAAAAAATAAATAAATAAAAAGTTGGAACACTTCATCCCTCCTCGTCTGTGCAAATGTGCACAAAAAGTAGAGGCAGAAGCAAAGGAGGAGGATCAGAGGATTTGGATTTTGGTTTTAGCTGAAGACAAACTCCTAACCTGTTGTTACTTTGATAAATTCAAATGAAGAAATAATCTAACTTTCACCGTGAACACCAATAACATGATGTCTCAGTAATTACAAATGAACAGTTTTCTGTTATATCACTTTCATTAYGCATTTATTTAATTGTTTCACTTACACTTCCCCATGGTGTTTTCAACTAATAATAGATCTTCCTTTATGTCACCACAGGTGACACAGCAAAAACCAACCGTGGTGACACTTCACTCACTCACTGAGCATTTCTGTCTGAAACACCCGGGCCAACCTGTTCTGCTCTAAAGCATTCAGTTAGTTACYGCCCTGACTTTCCTGTTCAGGCTTTAAGCATTAAGACACAAAAGAGATCGGATGTGAGGGAAAGAAAACGTAAAGAAGAGAAAGTCTAAAGAAGATCACACAGATGTTGTCACAAAGGTAAAGTTAAGCTGAACGACTGTGATAGTTTGTGACAGACTGGCATCTAATGTTTGTAGGTAATTATATCAGTCATTTAAAATCAGAAAAAATTACCCTTTAAAATTTAATTTTGTTTAATAAACACTATCATTTATTATTGTAACATTGTGATACTGTGTAAATGCATGATAAACAGCTAAATGAATTATTACTGTATTTCACTGTCAGTATTGTTTTATTGAGTTTAAAGTATTAGGTAAATGTTTAAGGCTCAAAGAYTACATTGTAAAAACAGTCCTTACTAAATCTTGCGATCTTCTATCCAGCAYAAAACTATTTTTGATTTTGTTTTGAGTCTGATAAACAAAAGCAGAATGTATAAAATTATCAATCTTGTTAGCCTGGAAATTTTCTTTATTTCAAAAGTGTTACCAAGTGCACTTGTCCAGCTGCACTGATAGTACTTCTGTTTCAATTAAATTAAGAAGATTCAGACAATAATCTAGTATTTTTGACTATATTTCAATGGCTATTTTTTGTAGTACAGAGGTGCTGCATCGGCATGAGTGAGACACAAGACCAAATATTTCTATTTAACATCCAGGATACCTCCTAACAGTTCCACTTCTTTATGTCCCATTAAGAACAAAACGACCACACGATAGGCTCAGAGGAGCAGCAGCTCCCCCATATTCTAAAGTGAGGATGCAAAATTTGTGTTTTTCTTCTCCCATTGTCAGACCTGAAAACATGTTTGTACTCCCAGCAATAAAATAAAAGCAGGGCATGGTATTCATTCTAATTTTATGCTACTTAAAAATAATCACTGTTACACACGCTCTTTCCCAGCTTTGACTTAATACATGTTTGCAAAGAAACGTAAGTTAGAAATGTGATGTTAGTGTTTGGGATACACACACACACACACAGTATATTCAGGCTGTTGGGTCTTAAGAGAAAAAAAAGTAAAAAAATCTTCATTTTTCTTTTTAATTTTTAAGTCTAACCTGAGTTTTGCAGATTGGTGTCCTACGCAGTGACTTTATATCGTTTCTCTAAAAGTTGTTATAGACCTAACATGAATTTGTGTGAATTTTGTCAGCCAATGAGTGTCAGTCACTCAGGCAGGCTGGCTGCCTGTTTAATCCACTGGCGGCCTGTGAAAACTCCTCTTCAGGTTGRCATGGGAGATGAGAGATGCAGATGTTGCTTGGCTGGAGCGAAACAGAGAAAGAAAAGCCTGAAGTGGAGAAGACTGGCTGAAAAGAAAGTCCAGAGGACAAATTGGCATGATAAGACACAAAGATAATAAAAGTGTAGAACCCCAGGGAAACAACAGGAGTTGTTTTTTAGGCATCGTTTTGATTGACACATGAATATGGACTCTGTTGTCCATGCTCCTGTCAAATTAGAAGTAAAACCCAGCAGCTGAGAACTGAGCACAGGGTCTGTTTTCAGAGCACAGCTGAAACACGAAGCAGTTTTCAGCAGCACACTTAATAAAACCACAAACGTGACACACGTTTGCCCAAAAACAGAATACGTTTAAATTTAGGGGCTGTACAAATTTGAAGACTCCTCCGCTTGATGCCCACAAATGCGCCCTCATTTTCCCCCCAATTTGAGGGACGGGTCCAGGGGATCCTTCCCAGTTCACCCTATCCCAAAAAGCATAGTGGGCCTGTCCCACGTAGACTGAGTAGGCTGGGTCCTTTGAAGGAAGCAGCCCAGTTTTTTTTCCCAGTGTGTAGAAAGACCAACACAAACGGCCACTGAAGCCTCTACGACTGTAAAAGCAGGTATCTGTGTGTTTATGACTCTGCAGGCCCAGTCACAGCTCTGTATCAGCTTAAAGCACATTTTTGGAAGTTAATATTAACTCTTTGATAAGGAGGTGTGTGTGTTTGTGCAGGAGGTGGTGGTAATGACCTTTTTTGTTACTGTCCAGCTCTAATATATGGCTGAAATACAACCTGTCTTCGTGTTGTTCTGTTGCCTTCTCTGTGCTGCTGTTGCCAAATAAACCTTATTTCCAGACCTTGTTTTATTGGAAGTCACTTGCAGAGCAGTTGAAAGTCTTTGAGCAACGCCTTTCTGAAAGTCTTCCTGCATTACTTCCTGCTTTGACCAGGAAGCTGAATTTGGCGTCGAGTTTGCAACAAATGTGAGCAAACGTGCATATGCATGCACGTCCTTGCAGGTCAGCCTGCAGACACAGACTTTTCTTGCCGTTAGAGGTGTAGAATTTAAGCGTAAGGAAGCCATTATCACCTTCACGACTTGTTTTTTTTATGGCAAGGTGGAAGCCCCGGGGAGAAAGCCGGGCAGGAGCACTCAGACATGCTTGTGTGGGCATGTGTTTGGGTGAGGTGGTGGAGCTGGGAGGGTGTCGTCAGCGTCAGGAGGAAGTGGCTCCTTATCAGAATGTGTACATGGGTGTGTGTGAGAACCCTGCCCTCTTGACGCTGCAAAGTTGGAAGGACTGTGCATGACCAGCTGCAGCTCAGCTGTTATCAGTGTGAGTCCTTTTAAATTTAGACGTCTGGGTTTCACATTCTGCACTGAGACACCAGCTGAATGTGTTATTCGGTGCAGTGAGGGGGGGGGGGAATAAAAAGGTAATGACTCAGCTGTTGTTCAGACTAAATTTGTTGTCAGTACCTCGTGTTTCTCCACTGTTCAAAGTTTGGCAATGTTTCAATCTGTTGTATAAAGTTTTTTTGATCAGATTTTACATCTGTTTCAGTCTGCAGAATTCTTCGATATGCTGGAAAAGATGCAGGTAGGAAATGTTTGTTTATTAGAATTTATCTTTGTTGTTTATATTCCTTGTTTCTTGCCCTTTTTACTTTTTTCTTTGTTTTGTTTGTTATTCAGTCATTGCATATGTTATCTATTTAAAAGAATGGTTTCTTCTGGAGTCACAGGAAGATCAAATGTAATATTATGACTTAGTTTCATTCAGCATTATCACACTGAGGTTAACRTGCTTCTCACTTTGGATGATTTGAACGGAAAAGATGCTTTGGAAAGATCTACATGGACTATTTTTGCCCTCTCTGTGAGGAATACATTGATTTTGCCATTTCTTCAGAACAAAGTCTCTCTCCTCCTTTGCGACCACTCTGAGCCCTCAGAGGGCCCCTGAGGGTCTGGACTTTGAATAGATAGAGGACAGATGGGGTATGAAAAGAAAACAAAAGGAGAAGAATGAAACAGAGGAGAGATGGAGAAATAAAAAAAACAGAGATAAACTTTTTGAGGGGAAGAAATCGGCACAGCACAGACGTGGGACTTGGGGACATGGGGATAACTCTTGACCCTTTATTATGTTACAGATCAAAATACACCCAAGAACATATTTTTACGGTTTTAAATTTAAAAATGATCTGACTCTTAATCTGATTGTGTCTGCACTGCTGCATACTGTCAGCCAGACTCTGGGCCAATAAAATTTGTATTTATCTTACCTTTTGTATAAAGCATAAAGGGCTTGCATGCCTAAAAAAAATTAAAAAAAACACCCATTTGTAACATTTATTCAAAATACTGATATGTCTTTGTTCTAATCTTTTGTAGATTCAAAATATCAGTTATGTAATTTACAAAACAAGCATGGAAAAACTTTCTTCTAATCTCTGTGAAAATGATGTTTACCTACAGTTTAATGTATCTGAAGGGTTATTGTTCCTGGCTGAAGGAGAGTGGGTTTGTTTTTGGTGACGTTTGGGGGCAATTTTAAGAAAAAACACCTACATTTGGGGACAACTGGTGCATTTGGGGACCTAAGTTGAGTCCCCATTTGGTTTAAATGCCATTGGTGGGTTGGGGGTTGGGTTTTAGGACCAAGGTGTGAATTGAGTTTAGGTTAGTTTTAGGGTCAGGTAGGTACCTGTGAGGTTAGCCTTAGGGTTTGTGGTCAGGGTTAGGCTGTAGAAATGTAATGGAAGTCAATGGAATGACCCCAGATGTATAGCTGGGCAAATGAGGGTGGAGGTGTATGTGTGTGTGTGCATGTTTTTGCTACCTGATGGGGATGATGTGACAATTTCACAGATACAGACAGGCTGGTGAGGACCCACTGTTCTTATGGAGACATAAGCCCAGTCCACATCACGAGGTAAATAAAGTTTAGTTTAGGTTTAGGTTTAGACAGGCTGTACAAAATGCTGGTAAATGAAGTCAATGCAAAGTCCCCATAAGGATAGAAGAACAAACGTGTGCATGTGGGAGGAGACAGCAGAGTGCTGTGGAGGAGGAAATGAGTTGTTTTTAGCAAGAGTTGCGGCTGGAGCAGCTTCTGTTGGCATTTTTTTTTTTTGGGAGTGTTGTTAAAACACATGGTTTAAGTTATTTTTGGGATCTCCAGATAAAGTCTCAAAGATCTTCACGAGTCTGTCGCAGGTCTTTTGCTACCTCACTCGGAAGTACAGAGGAGGGAGAGTTTGAGCCTCTCTGTGTGTGTGCCTTCTGAACTGACCGAGGTGATCAGGTTTATACGGTACAGGCTCTCATCTAAAAATAGTCCGATGCAAACGTCCACATTATTACACATCACTGGAATTTATTRTATGCAGGAATTYCCCCCATTATAAAAACYAGATTTGCKGGAATCGATCATAATGTGCGCAATACCCGCTATCCCGCGCCAAATTTCAGGCCCTGAAACATTAAAYATTTAAATATCTTCATGATGAAGGTCCAGATGAAAGACCTAGGAATTGATTGGTCGATCAGTTTGACCCCATTTAAACGTATGAGTGTTTTATTTTTTGTTTGCTTGTTTTGTCCAAGCTGGCACGACAGGTTTTGTGAAAGAGTCGTAACATTAAGGGTTAAATATTTAGTTATGAACATGAAGGTCTGGTTAAAACCCCACAGAATATGTTAATGTTAGAAGTGTTCCAATAAAGAAATGTCTACCTGTTTTATGCCAAATAGGGACCTAAATAATTCAAATAACTTATATAGACCAAATGTAAACATGAGTCCAAAATTGTGATTTATATGAATACAAATAATTGTTTTAATGGTTAAGAGTTGATTTAAAAGTAAACTACTGTTAGATTTTGGGTAAGAATAATCTGTTATTTAGAAATGTGAAGATTAGGATAATGATCCCCTTGCAGAGCTACACCAGACACCTGTGTACAGCAGTGAGTGGTAAATGTTGCCTCATTCTYGATACAGTTTGTGACATTATAAGTGATTTTGTTGAACTCAGCACAAATCTTCGTACTTTTCTGCTCAGTCATAACAAGCTGTCCCACAGGGGATTGTTCAAAACTTACAAGATACAAGTTATTTGTAATGTCATGTCAGTACAGGTATATGCAATGATTCTGACAATGTGTTAATCCCAACAGACATTTATACAAACTACAAAAGAAGCTTTATCTTAATGTAATGAGGCTGGATTCTGTGAGATGTGTAGATGAGTCACTCAGCTGTCATCTGGCAGCAGTAAGTGAGGTCTCCAAACAAGAACACGGTGTTTTAAGGCACCTTTTAAATGCACCGAGCWTTCTTTATGACCTTTTGTGTTTTTCCATCCTCATGCTGCGAACGGACACTAATGAGGTCCCTAAAGCTGAAGACACCAAAAAATGGAAGGTGTGACCAACTGCACACTTGGTCATGTTCTTCTCTGTGGATCTCGTTCGTTTGTGTTACATGTCCTCCATTAACCTGCTTTCTGCTCTTTGTCACCACTTCACCATGCATCCTGCTTTGCTTTATGTTCTTTCATCTGTGTCTTTGAGTCGCTGAATCCCGTGTGAACGTTTTCCCGACTTTTTTCTTCTTCTGAGTTTTCTGAAACATAAAATCAATACCTTCCACCCACCCTCTGATCTGATTGATTATGAGCTGAAAGAACTCCAGCTGTCAGCTGATCCTCGGTGGCCTGCCAGTGTCTTGACTCCTGCTGCAGCAGAATATAAATGACCGTCTGTTCGTAGCTTGGTACACCCCAGTGGGGGTGCRAGCAGACTACATCAGTGTTTAGAGGTCATACAATGGAGCCGCAGACTGCCGACAGCTCAAMACATCTCTTAACCTCAGAAACTACCAAATCAAAGTGGCCTCTGACATCATCCTCAGTGAAGTTTACGCAGGGTTGTGCATTTCAGGCTGTTGCGTCATTGTCTAAAAGTCCGTTTGGCATGATCATCTGTGGTACTGTTTTGGTGTCTGTGTTTTYGGCTGTGCTTGCACAATTGTTGACGTTGAGAGAAAAAAAACATAAAAGTGTTCACAATCTATTTTTTTTCTTAACTGTGTGTTTTCTGCTTTACAGGATGATTATATCCCCTACCCACGGATAGAAGATGTGAGTCATTTCTCAAGCACACATTTACACCTTTTTTCACAATGCAGCTTAAGCCAGATGTATTTCAAACAATACAGACAGATTTTAATGAGATTGTAATATCCAGTTTATCCTTTTACCACCTGGTTGTGACAGTAACCAAAATTTTTGGTAGAGTTTGTCTTTTAGCAGGGTCGTGGCAGGCACAATCTCAATGTGACCCCAAAAGACCTTGAGAACTGCTGGTTCAGCTTTGTGCTTCTGTTGTAGAGACACTAATGCAACAAAATACTGTAGATTCCAGTTTTAACTAGAGGTCGGCTTTCTGGCCGATATTTTTGTTTTTTCCTTGTATCGTATCGGCCGACACGTTCGTGTGTTTGGAGGAAGAAAAAAGGAGTTTCAACTTCAAGAATCTGCCAAAAAAAAATTGGCTGCATGTATCGACGTTTCGGTTAGACTGATGTCAAAATAATCGTATCGGCCTTTAAAAACCTGTRTTGGTCAATCTCTAGTTTTAACAAAGCCTTCTGTATCGCATTATTTATAATCCAGGAAATATTTTCTAACAAGTCTACCAATAAACGTAACACCCAGGAAATACAGAATAAATCAATRGAAAGATTTGGAACGAACAACCGCAGAGCACCGAAACCCAGGGAAAAGTTGACTAAAAGAAGGAACCTGTGCACCAAAATGGTTGGTAAAAACTAATTTGCTTTAAAAAACGGGGCTTGCCAGGAATGCCGACTGTAGTTGCTATCATCAAACGTTGAACATGGACCATTTTTCAAATATCTGCACCTTAAATCCATTAACGCAAGGTCAACAACAGAGCAAAGACATGGTTGTCTTTCTGGTGTGACACGTTACGATGATGGATATTCACTGTAGCTGAAATGTGTCTGTWACAGCTTCTTATATCCAATTAAATTTCAAATTTATGCTATTGTTTTTTTTCCCTCTTTAAACCTCATGTGCAAGGTCCTGGAGAAAGGTGGTCCGTATCCCCAGGTAATACTGCCCCAGTTTGGAGGTTACTGGATCGAAGATGCAGAGGCACCAGCAGGAACCCCTTCCTCCTCAGAGTCCAGTTTCTGTGAAGAGGAGGAAGGTGATGAGGGCATGAGTCCCGGTGGGGCACACAGCTACCGCCTGGAGTGTAACAGCACAGCTCGAGCCTACCGCAAACACTTCCTAGGAAAGGTTAGTGTGTGTTTGTGTTGTTATTTTCATTGTGTTGAAGCAGGACAAGTCTGTTATTGTCCTACTTTCCTCCTTCCAGGAGCACCTGAACTACTACTGCACGGGCAGCAGCATCGGCAACCTCATCATGTCTCTGAAACACGAGGAGGCTGAAGGCCAGGAGTTCCTGCGCATCATGCTCAGGTACAATCTTCCATCTCTGACAAGTAAATAGAAATATGAAATCTACAATAAGAGAGTAATTTTCTTTACTTGATTCATTAAATGACCTCAAATGCAATTATTATTTTTCTTGTGAGCATGTTCTTGTCTGATTCTGCCAGGTATGATTTAAAGTAAAAATTTGAGCTTTAATTAAGATTCTTCAAGTATTTTGATTCATAACTCAAATTTATTGCCATTTTTACTCAACAAATGGCATTATGGGTAAACCTTTAAACATCAACAAGATCTATAAGTTGTTTTAAAAAAACAACACAAAAAATGTCACTGAAAATAATGTTTGCTGTTATGGCTTCTATTTCGGGATTATCAATATGCTCTATGTGCTTTGAGAGGAACCGTTCTTATGACTCTACACTTGACAGCATTTAGATATAGAAATTCAAACAAACAAAATGTTAATTGTAGAAATATCTGTTTAAACTATTTGGATATACCTAAATAATTTATATAGTTCATATAATAAAGTAAAATAGAAAGTTTGAAATGTAAATTTTCATATGCTCACTTTAAACTGTCTTAAAAACAGATTATAAATATTCTAAATCAAAATACATAATGATAACTAGTGACCATTTTAAATGTAGGTATTCCTCCTTAATAAACAATGAATTTGTGCACCAATTGTATTAATTTAAATATCGTTAAAACAAGAGTTAAAGAAGTGTGGTGGAGACTTCATTCACAAAATGCACAAAATGTTATAAAATATATGTAGACACGTTTAGCTCTGCGTTCATGTGTAAAACCCCGTTTTTTTAATTCTTTGGATAAAAATAAAATTAAAGTGTGTGCTGCACACATTGTAAATGACCATCACACCCAAAACAGGAACTTCAAMCATTTGTTGTTTGCTCATGAATGGATACGTTCAGCCAGCTAACCAACCATCTGTCTGCCTGTCAAACCTAATCTGTGAAGTATCGTTTGTACAACCAGGAGATTGACCCATCTAAATCTCATTTGGTGGGGCCTGTAGGACTGTCGGTGCAAACGTTAAGAATAARTTTGTAACTTTTTAAGATTTTTGTGTGTGAACTGAAGTGATAGACCAATTATCCAAAGTTCAGACAATGACTGTAGACTCCTGTTAGTGCTCTAAAAGGTAAAAGCCAACCTCTGCAGTCCCTTTGTCCCTAAAGATGTTTTGACTCTTCCTTTTCTTTCCTCCACACTTGTTTTTCTGTTTCAATCCTTTCTCATATTCTGCTCAGATTAAATTTGTGACTCATCTTTTCTTGGGATAATCCCATTTTGGTGCCATTTTCATTAGGAGTATCATAATGTTCTGTTTGGGTGTTGCTTATGTCCCAGCTGACAGTGATAATAACATTACCAGTCACTCTTAAATCAACCATCCTCAATGATTTATTTATTTATTTATTTATTTATTTATTTATTTATTGTCTGTGAAATGTTGTCGAGACAAGACTTTTCAGAAGATTTTGCAGCTTCACATAAATTGGGGTGTGTGTTTCTGTCAGTTTTAATCTACAACATGAGTATTGTATGGTAATAACATGTTGGAGTCAACTTTAAAATAAAACAAAACAAAACAAAAAATATTCTTTTTGTATTTTCTTTTGTTTGCAGATCAAGAGCCAAAACAGTTCATGACAGAATCTCTTTAACTGGCCTCAGTCAGTTGCCCAGTGTGCCTCAGATTGCAAAGGTAAAATGAAAACTATTTTCCTTGGAGTTATTGTGTTTTTCATGTACATTTTACAAAACCAAAAAATTGTTTATAGCTGTCAGTACTGGAACTGATTTGAGTTCTGTTAATTTTACATTCTAACAAAGTTAATAAGATATTTTGAGTTTAAAAAATTATATAAAAAAACTATATTTTACATTGGTGCATGTACACATGTACAAAGACTTGCATGAGTTTTTTACTGAAATGGGGCACTGAAATCTTGATTTGATAATATTTTTAAGTAAAAGTAATTTAAATACCCTGCCAGGACATTTCAAATCCAAAAGAGTACAAACAGAAATTTAAAAGCAAAACAGGGCTTTTATTTTGTAGTTCAAGATGTTTGGCTCCCTTTTTAAAGAGGCTATCTCAACTCAAAAACCAGAGAGTGGAGTTCATAACTTGGCTCAGTCATAGCCTGGATTCATTTGCAGATTAAACTGCACGACCCTCACAATGGAGAGTCATTAGGGTCTTCGTTCCCCCGGCTCACTACAGACATGTTTGGGTCACATGCATGGAGGTGTGACTTGGTGTGAAYATGGATAGGTATCAGGCTTAATGTCATATTGTTAGTTTCAGAAAAATGAAACCTGAGACCACCTCTGTTTAAAGCGTTTTTTTCTCATTTAAGTAAATGACTTCCTTTTAACTCCTCTCAAAACGTCTTCTCTTCAAAATTTAAACATTTTGATCCATAAAATAAAGTCTATTAGACGTGGGTGCACAGCTGAGTCTTGTCTTGAAGAGAATATGGGAAAAATCAAAGTTTTTTGCAAAAATTATGGATTTATGAGGCTCATCATACAAGTAAAAGTTCGAAAGGGTTGACACGTGTGCAAAATTATTTCAGTATCTCCAAGCCTCACTAAGTTACAGACATTTGTGTGTTGGGTAAAGTTGATAGCTGGGGCTACTGAAATGGTTTTACTCCAGAAGTTAATCATTTGTTAAAATAAATAATAAATAAATAAAAATACAATAAAAATACATTCAATATGCTTCTAAATGTTTCAATAAAAACTTTACCAGAGCTCTAAAGTTTTAATCTCGGACTTTCAGAGAAATGCATTAAAGCTGCTGTAACTGAAAACTGTACCATCATCAGCGTAAAAGGAGACTGTGTGTATTTTGCAGCAATCTTGTGAATTTGTGTGCATAATGTGGTTGATGTCCGTTAAACTTTGTGACTCTTTTTGTTTCTTTTAGCTTCTGTGTGATGACGCCACGGGGCTGAAGTTCAACCCAGTCCTGTACCCTCGGGTGGGTTTATCTTCAATTCCTACTTTGTGATCTCTTTATCACAACCTCGCCTGCCTTTACWTTGACTAATTACTTTCTTCCCTATATGGAAACAAACAGACTTTTTATTACCTCCGCCAAGAGCGAGGTAATGTTTTCGGTCGAGTATGTCTGTCTGTCTGTCATTTGGTCCGTGGAAAACATTACTCAAAAACTTGTGGACGGATTGTCATGACATTTTTATCACATGTGGATACTGGGCCAAGGAACACACTGTTAAATTT